GTAGATACCTCCTACCAAACTCTTATCATCCAATCTGCCTAATATCCTTTCTTCTAAAAACTACAGAGGATTCTAGATAGGCATATTAGAGAAGGAAGACTTCAGACAATCCCGTTAAACTCCTCCCCATATGCCTACCAAGCAGGCAAATCGACATCATGCCCTGCACTGTCTAGTAGGCAAAATCGGCAATTCCCTAAATCACGGGGAGATTGCGCTAGGTGCCTTCCTAGATATAGAAGGCGCATTCAACAACGCCCTTCCTAAGTATTTGTTTGCTTCTACTGAAAGAAGGGAGATCGACAAACTAACTTGTAATTGGATCAAAAGCATACTGGCAAACCGGAACATCACTTCATCGCTGCAAGAGGAGACTGTCATGTTTAGGCCTGCCATAGAATGTCCACAAGGCGGCGTACTTTCACCCCTACTGTAGACCATTCTAGTGGATAACCTGCTAGACGATCTCTTTCGGCAGAGGGTGGATTTTCAATGCTATGTGGACGATCTGGTTATTTTAATTAGGGGAAAGTTCGAAGAAGTGATCTCCAACATCCTTCAACAAGCCCTTAATACGATCAACAGATAGTGCGAGAGGGAGCAGATATCTGTTAACCTCCGAAATACTGTTATTGTCCCCTTTATTAAGAGAAGAAAGCTCGACAAGCTTCGATCACCTACCTTGGCTGGGGAAACCATTCCTTTTGCGGAGGAGGTGAAATATCTGGGATCTTCCTAGATAAGAAGCTCACCTAGAACCCCCAATTAAATAAAACCATTAACAAATCCAGATTATCCCTCTGGACCCATAGAAGGATATGCGGCAAAGCATGGGGGATCAGTTCTCAACTGATCTACTGGATTTAACAAACAGTAGTAAAACCCATGGTTGCGTACGGCTCTGTCTTTTGGTGAGACAAGAGACTTCAACGGACGGCCAGAGCAAAGCTGGCTGGAATTTAGTGGCTTGCGTGGCTAGCCATAACTGGAGCAATGTTAACCACACCTACGGGAGCCATGGAGACCATGCTGGATCTAACCTCTCTCCACATTCTGCTGCAAATGGAGGCCAAGATGGTCTCCTATAGACTCCTGAAGGTGGGTAGTCAATGCTACAAATAACTGCGATGGGACAAGACGGAGCTGATAAGTGAGACTAATAACCACCTCATCCTCGGCATGGTCTCGGACTCGCTAGTACCCCAACAACACATAGAAAAGCCATACAGCGTTCTCATCCCAGAGAGAGACGCATGGAGCAGAGGGAAGAAAACACTCTCACAGGCAGACTATTGTACACGGACAGCTCCAAAACTGAAAAAGAAGTAGGAGCGGGAGTTTTCGGCCAGAGGCCTAGAGTTGACATATCAGTAAACCTAGGCTCTCTGGCCACGATCTTCCAAGCAGCAATGATTGCTACAGAATTGGGAGCAAGAGGGTTGATTAATTTTCTCCCCGCAAACAAGATTATAAAGATCTTTTCAGCTCCAATCGAGATAACTCAAAGCTGGTTTGGAACTGTATTAATATCGTTAAATGTCTTGGTGCTCCAAAAAAAGTTACTTTAATCTGGTTTTCGGGGCACAGTGTTGTGGAGGGCAACGTAAAAGCCGATGCGCTTGCTAAAATAGGAATCGAATCTGTGCTCATAAGATCAAAACCATTCCTGGGCATTGCAAACAGCACTGCCAAAGGAATTATCTCAAAATGGACGGAGGGTGTAACACTCACGAACTGGAGAGATACCTCAGGGCTAACTTATTTGAAGGCGTTTATAACCAACCCTTCTACGAACGCCTCTGCTCAAATCTGCAGCGTGGAGGACGAGTCTGCAAAGCACATTCTATGTACCTGCTCAGCTCTGGAAAGAACCATGTTCCAGATCTTTGGATTTACCCGACTGGACCCTACCGACTTTAAACAAGTCTCACCCAATTCAACCATGGCCTTCATCAAAAGGTGTGGCTTGTACGGTGAACTATAAGTTAGTCATGAGCCACAATAGGCCCATCTGGGTCGCAGTAGAAGGCGATGAGATCATCCCACTCATTTTCAACCTAACCTAACCTACCTTTCTTTTTCTTTATTATAACTCTTCAACTTTAATATATGTTCATCTTAACATCAATATAAAAATGACAGCCTAATTATTTACCTAGGGGAAGATATTTAGAAAATTATGTATTTATAAGATTCACTTTATCAGCCTGTAGAATGAATATTGGAACGTGTATAGGAAAATTATATACAATTTAAAAACTTACAATGGGCTCTATATGAAATATTTTATTTAACAACAAAAAATACTTACGGACACCATTAAAAATAAGGTTTTATTGGCTTTTAGAGCCTTTTAACATTGTATGTATGTATCACAAGTAGGGTTTTGCTATTTAAACTTTTTAGTTGGGGTAGGTAGGGGGCCTAGGGGGTTGATTAGATATTAAAAATCTTTACATCGAAAATCTTTCTTTTTGTTTGTTTTGAAATGTTTCTTAATAGGAAAATGATGTTAGAAGAAACATCCTTCACAATTATTTGAATTTCTTCAATATTAATGTTTGTTTTTGCTGATTTCTTTCTATCATGGCCAGATTTAATTCTAGAAGGATCATTTGGCTTCCTCATATGTTTCAAAAAGTTTCTACTCTGTTTGTACAATTTTTTTTAATGGAATATTTGACTAATGTTCTAAAATCATAGTATAATTATTATTTACACCGCTGGATAGCATTTTTTTATAGGCTTTTCAATGATGTATCACAATTAGGGGTTTGCTATTTAAACTTCTTTAGTTGGGGTAGGTGGGGCCTAGAGGGTGTATAAGAAATATAAGCGGCCCAAGATGAAAGTTCTGAGTTACATCACAATTAACCCTAGAACAGTATCGTTTTAATTTCTACCGCTTGTTGGTATGGACACGTAAAATTTACGCATTCGCAAATTTTTTACATGTACACTTTGTAAAATTACCTGTTTTTATCAGTTTTTTTTTTTAGTGGAACATAAAATAGTGTTTTTAACATATTTTTAATAACAAAAAAATATTTTAAAATGAAAAAATTACAGTACCTAACTGAATTTAAAAATAAAGAGAACACTTTTTCATTTGATTTTTTGAAACACGTGCGTATTTTTATTTGGTATTCCCCACATACTCTTTTGGTACATTTTCCGCAGTATGTAGTTGCCATTCTTTCCTTTAATGTAGGACAAAAGTGGCAAAGGTCCCTTTTTGATTCCCTCCCCTTCGATATTTGTACTGGGCAAAAAGGTTTCTTTAATATCTATTGCACTTACTGTACTTAGGTATCCTATTTGTTGACGTTGTGATTGCCTTGGTTTAAGAAGACTTTTGTGAAGTACTTAAAATGTGTTAATGTATTACCACCTAATGCTTCAACATTGTGTGACTAAATTATGTATAAATTGATGCAAGCCATGTTTATTATATTGTAAAAGACACATAGGGCCATTTGCAGCGACAGTCGTTAATAAATAAGCGAAGCCTAAAATTTTAAGCTTGACGACACGTCAGATAAACGTACAACAAATAACTGCTTATTGGTATCGATGCGTATTTCTTACGTCTATACTTTTCAAAATCAATCCTCATCTTCTTTTGCTAAATAGTTGCGACTCTGTCACCTAGAAATCTTCACAAGTGGATGTTTCCTGAGGCACTGCTGGAAGCTCGAGATCGTGACTCAAAAGAAGTAGTGCAGGGGTCCTTTTCGCTACAAACCACACGTAAATGTTACGTACGATACCGCTCTAGGGTTAATTGAATGTATAAAACCGATTTTAAAATTCTTCATATTGACAATCTTTTTTTTTGTATGTTTTCTTGATAGGAAAATGATGTTAGGGGGAAAATGTTTCACAATTATTTAGATTTCTTCAAAATTTATGTTTGTTTTTGCTGGTTTCTTTCTATGACGGCTATACTTAATTATAAAATGATCATTTGGCTTCCTAATATATTTCAAAAATTTTTTACTCTGTACAATTTTTTTAAGGAAACATTTGACTAATATTCTAAAACCATATTTAATCGCTTCTTTTAAGTTTTCTGTTAAAAATAATTTTTTTAGATAATAGAGTTACAAATTTTAAAATTTGGCGCAAAATCAATCTAATAACTATTTATGTATAACCCCGAAATTCTTGCTTTTAAAGCTAACGAAACAAAAAAATCTATATTTTTATGAATATGTGACATATTAACACAAAAATCCTAAAACTGGCGCGAGTTCCAAATATAAAAAATCAGTTAAATATTACAAAGTAAATGTAACAATGTCAAGGAAAAAAATTAAATACTATTTATTCATTTCAGTCATACTTCTTTTACCTGACTTTTCTTTCTACTGCTCTGCAGCTCTGCTGCCCTCCTTCTATATCTTGTATACAGAGTTGGCCACTGAACGTCTGTCAATAAGCGATGCATAAGTGCGTGTACAAACTCTAGAGAGTTGAAATGGGAGAGAGCAGGAGGCGAACAATATCAACGTTGCCAGTTTGTGCAGCCCGATCGCGTTGTAACTGACATCGCTGTTATTATTGGTTTTCTGTTTTTCCTAAAGCTGTGTCTTTGTAGTTTTTTCTCGCACTTGTGTCAAAGTGCATTGGAAGACACTGTATACCTGCGTTTATGTTGAGCCTCTCGATGTACCTTCTGTTATCCTGTTTGTCGATCTCACATTCACATCTGCAAGTTCTCCTGTTCTGCTTTTCTATATGCTATAGTTCTTGACTTCAGACATCTCCAATTATGACTAATTGTCAATTAAAATTTATTTTATTCCTTTTTTTATTTTAAAAAAGCCATAACAATATAATCAACTTTTGGAAAATCTAAAATAGCTTTTTGATAGTTCTCTAAATCACCCCAATCCTATTGACTATATTCTTCAAGAAATACACTAAAAAAATTTTGATTCTTCGCATAAAAATTACTAAATGGATATAATTTTAATAACATGAACTTTATTTTTTAGGGTTCAACAGAAACAAATGACAATTTAAATCTTGATAAGGTATTCCGTACGCCAAAAGATTTCTCTAGAGTCAATTTCGATCATTTAGAAATTTTGGAAAGAAATAATTTCGACCCAGTGACCAACAACAGAGAAAATGAAGAATTATCGGTACATTCAAAATTGCATCCAAAATCAGTCGCCAACGCACAAGTGATGCTAAGGTTTGTGATACTTTGCATAAAAATCGGAAATGATTAAGTCATAGTTTAAAGATATTAAATTTTTTAACTATACGTTTCTGTTACAGGTTTGGAGGAGATGACATCAAAGGAACAAACTCTATAGATAGAAATCGATCACCGGGTATCGTAACAAAAGTTGGACATCCGTACGCTCTACAACCCAGTCATCACCATCATGAAGCTCACCACCATGCTACCAACGAGATTAGAACTCCATACCACCCTAATCCATATGCACAGCCATATGGTCATCTACCCGTTGGACAATTTCCTTATTCGCCATATTTACCTTTTGGATTGCCACCCAGCGCTTACTATTCTGGATATTACTACCCACCAGCACCTTATTACAACAAAAGTGAGTATTATTATATTATTATCAAATAGTCATTAAACTACAATAAAAATTAGACAAAAAAACTTTTATTTTAAAATATATATCTATTTTTTATAATTTTATTCTTTTGTATTTCATACACATTTTAAATTTATTCTATCCAAAAACTAAAATATTCTTTATTTTCAGTGCCAGGAGGTATGCCCAATGAATCTTCGTACGCAGGACGACATCCTTTTTTAGGGGGGACGCTCCAAACAAACATCGCAAGCGTCATAAACGTAAATCATCCAAAAATACTAAAAACCTCGGATCTCACCAACGACATCATTCCAGAAAACAACGAAAACACAAATCCAAAAGATAATCAAGGACCAATTATGTTTCCGTACTATCCAGGAATAAACGTTAAGTCCAGGCCTCCAGAAATGATGCACTTTCAGAAGGGAAATCAAGGTCAGGCGTATAATCCATTAGATTTCTTGGAGCCTACAAAAGCTAATGAACCACCACCAGTTCAACCAATTTCTCCAAATGAACCTGCTGGATCTAATCCACCTCATGGCAATCACCACCAAATACCACATCGTCCTATTGACCATCCAAAAAAAAAACCTTCTACAGAATATTCAATTGATCTTCCTGATACTCATAAAGATAATCCAATAAATATTCACTCAGTTCATAAAGATACAGGAATAGATATACATCACATCGTTAAAGAAGAACCTGTTAAATTAACCAAGTTCGAAAAAGATGATGTTATTCAAATAGGACACAATCAAAAAGAAGCTCCTACAAACATTAACCCTAGTGATAAAGATATTGAAGGTCCAGTTATGTTTCCGTACTATTCAGGAATAAGCGTTAAGTCCAGGCCTCCAGAAATTATGCAATTCCAAAAGGGATATCAAGGTGAGAAGTATGATCCATTAGATTTCTTGGATTCTCCAAAACCTAATGAAGTGCCACCAGTTCAACCGATTCCTCCAACCGGATCTATCGCTAAAGAAGAACCTGTTAAATTATCAAAATGGGAAAAAGATTACATACTGCAGTTAGGAGGACATCACAAAGACCACCCTACAAATATTAGCCCTAGTGATAAAGATACACCAATAGATATGCATCAAATGGGTAAAGAAGAACCTGTTAAATTATCTAAATGGGAAAAAGATTATATACTACAGTTGGGAGGATATCACAAAGACCAGCCCACAAATATTAACCCTATTGATAAAGATACACCAATAGATATGCATCATATAGGTAAAGAAGAACCTGTTAAATTGTCTAAATGGGAAAAAGATTATATACTGCAGTTAGGAGGACATCACAAAGACCATCCCACAAATATTAACCCTATTAACAAAGACCTACCACTAGATATTCACCATCCAGGCAAAGACGATTCTGTTAAATTATCCAAGTTCGAAAAAGATTCTCTTATTCAAATAGGACACCATCACAAAGAAGGTCCAACACACATTATTCCTATTGATAAAGATACACCAATAAATATGCATCACACTGGTAAAGAGGAATCTATTAAATTGTCTAAATTAGAAAAAGATAACGTATTGCAATTAGGACACTTCCATAAAGATAGTCCTACAAATATCAACCCTATTGACAAAGATCTACCTCTTGATCTACACCATGTTGGCAAAGAAGGCCCTGTTAGTTTTTCGAAGTTTGAAAAAGATAATATTATTCAAATAGGAAACAATCACAAAGAAGCTCCAACCAACATTAACCATGTAGATAAGGACGACTTAATTGATATAATTCATGGACAAAAAGATGATCCTACTGACATTTATCCAGTCGATAAAGAAAGTCCATTTAACATTCCACATGTCCTTAAAGAATCACCAATTGTTATAAATCCAGTAGACAAAAAATCCACAGAACCAATCCATGTTCATTCACATTACGAAGTCCATGAACAAGAATTGGAACCATCAAAGCATTTATTAGTACCTCACAATTTGGATACAAAGCCAGTCCATGAAGAAGAACTTACAGAAGAAGAACATACAGAAGATACGAAACCATTACATTCGCACCATCATTGTGAGTGTGAAGATAAGAAACATGTCCCTGACGATACCAAGAATCCACATCAATCACATCATCGTCATCATCACCACCACCACCATCACCACCATCATTCTCGACCAAAAAAGATTGATGACGAGAAATCCCACATTCTTCGGATTCCTCCGAAAAATTCTAAAGACCTTGGCCCTATAAAGAAAGAGTCAGACATTGAAATTGAACGACCAGAAAAAGATTCATCATTAAATATCGAAGATGTTGATAGAGATTGTACAGCTGATGACCAATCAGAAGAAGATTCGCAAGTTGATATCTACCCATTAGACAACGATTGTCCAGTTGAAGAAGATTCACCAATTGATATATATCCAGTTGATAAAGATTGGCCCATGGATATTGATGTTGATAAAGAAGCAACAGTTAATATCAGACCAGTGAATAAAGATATTCCAATACATTTCGAGTACGTAGATAAGGATAAACCTTTTGACATTTATCATGTAGATAAAGATTTACCTATTGACATTGAGGTAGATAAAGAAGGAAATGTTGATATTTGTCCTATAGATAAAGATCAACCTTTTGATATAGAACCAATAGGCAAAGAATCAGCTATGGATATATTCCCAATTGACAAAGATTTACCAATTGCCATTGATGTAGATAAAGAAGGAAATGTTGATATTTATCGTATAGATAAAGATCAACCTCTTGATATTGAACCAATAGGCAAAGAATCAGCTATGGATATATTCCCAATTGACAAAGAGTTACCAATTGCCATTGATGTAGATAAAGAAGGAAATGTTGATATATACCCTATAGATAAAGATCAACCTCTTGATATTGAACCAATAGGCAAAGAATCAGCTATGGATATATTCTCGATAGACAAAGACTTACCAATTGCCATCGATCATGTAGACAAAGAAGGGAATGTTGACATTGAACCTGTCAAAAAAGATTTACCGTTTGGATTTGAAGTAAACAAAGAATCTTCAATTAATATTTTAGAAGAAAATAAAGATAGACCATTAGAAATAAATGCGGTAAAAAAAGATGCACCTATACATATATTATCAGTAAAAAAAGAAACTCCTATTGATATATCGGTCAACAAGGAGATTGCTGTCGACATTCAATCTGCGAAGAAGGAGTCTCCTATAGAAATATTCGTTGACAAGGAACCATCACTTGATATTCAATATGTGGACAAAGAGGCTCCTATTGATATATTGGCAGATAAAGAAGGTTTAATCACCATTCATTCTTGGGATAAAGAAACTCCAATTGATATATTAGCGGATAAAGAAGGTTCAGTTCATATTCAAGAAGTTGACAAAGATAAACCAATTGATATATCCTCAATTAAAGATGGAACTGCTTATATTCAATATGTGGATAAGGATACACCAATCTACATATCACCAAATAAAGAATCATCTCTAACTTTCCAGTCCATAGATAATGATAGACCAATTGATTTATCATCAAATAAAGAATCATCTATCCTCATAGACGTTCTTGATAATGATAGACCGATTGATATATCACCAAATAAAGAGTCATCTGTCGTTATCCAATCTATTGATAATGACAGGCCTATTGATATATTAGCCAAAAAAGAATCTTCTCTGTTCCTTCAACCTGTGGATAAAGAAGAACCTATTGCGATAACAGAAAATAAGGAAGCTCCAGTTTATATACAACAAGTTAAAAAAGAGACGCCGATTGATATATTAGAAAACAATGAGGGTTCTATTTATATACAACCTGTATATAAAGAAACACCTGTTGATATAGAATATAAAAAGGAAGCTCCTATGTATATTCAGCCTGTATATAAAGAAACACCTATTGATATAGAATCAAATAAAGAAACTATCTATCTACAACCTGTATATAAAGAAACACCTGTTGATATAGAATCAAATAAAGAATCCCCTATGTATATACAATCGGTTAAAAAGGAAACACCTATTGACGTTGACGTAAACAAAGAAGGATCTATTTACATTCAACCAGTCTATGAAGAAACACCCATAGATATATCAGCCAAAAAAGAATCTTCTATTTACATTCAACCTGTTTATAAAGAAACACCAATCGATATAGAAAGAAATAATGATGTTCCAGTTTATATACAACCTGTAGAAAAAGATGAACCTATAGGTATATTGCCAGTAGAAAAAGATTCTCCAATCTGCTCACCTGAAGTAAAGAAAGACGAACCCATTTATATACCTCCAGTGTGTATCAATGAAGAAGATGTATACGAAGTAGTAACACCAGATCACCATCACCACAGGTACAGACCACCAGTTTCTGCTTCACAATATGAAGTTGTTGAACCCATGGATGAAGGTGTATGCGAATGTTTATCACCCGATCAGTATGAGGTTGTTGAACCTAATGAGGATAATTATCAACAACCTGATAATAACATACGTCCAGTAGAAGAACCAAGTTGTTATGATGTTGGAGAAACAGATGAAATTAAATATGAAGCTCCAATTGAAATAAAACGCCCTGACAATGAGTACTATGTAGTTGAAAATAACGATGACGGTCCAGTCGACATTGTTTTATTACCAGAGGAAGGCACCTGCTCATTTAATGACGAAGTGAAGCAAGTAGAACCTCTTTACATTGAACCAGTCAATAAAAAATGCAGTTCAATTGATGAATTAGCCAACGAACCAATCGATTTTTGCTCATTTAGTGATGATAACAGTAACACAGGTGAGGTGAAGCAAGAAGAACCCCTTTACATTGAACCAGTTAATCAGGAATGCAGTTCAATTGATGAATTAGCTAACGAACCAATCGATTTCTGCTCATTTAGTGATGATAGCAGTAACACAGGTGAAGTGAAGCAAGAAGAACCCCTTTACATTGAATCGGTTAATAAAGAATGCGGTCCAATTGAGATGTTAGCCAAAGAACCAAACGTGGTAACTTGGGACACCATTGAACAAGGATCACTGCCAGAATGTCCGTGTCCAACACCTCATAAAGTGCATTACATAGACGTTGAGTTATCGCAACCACATCAAGGATGTGAAGAAGTTGAAGAATGGTTAAATAAATCGCTAATACCATACGAATGCGGTAAATGTGGAAAGAAAATGTTAGTAACCTATCCTATAACCGAAGATTTAGCAACGCATGTGATATCAGCTCCAGAATTTGAAGATACTGACGTGTCAGACTCAAAATGCCCCTGTTGTCAGTTGAAAGGATTCTGCGATTGTAAAAATTGTCAGTGTGGAAGAGACCCAATTGTCCCGTATGGTAAGAGGTTTAGCGAAGACGTGGATTCTTTGTTAAGGGTAGTTCATGCTAAACCTGACTGGACTCCTACATACCCACATCGAATTTGGGATCATCTGGAAGCCAGTCCTTACTCTACAGGGTTCGCTCATTCTTATAAAACCACTTCGTCTTTGGGTTTTACAAAAGTGGGCAATCAGGAACCAAAAGTAACGTTTAATGGTTATTCGTCACATTCTGGTGGAGGATATTACTCAGATCCTTTCAAGAGTGTATTATATAGACAACCAACGGTCCTTGATGTGGTTTCAAAGCCTAATCCTTGTAAATCGGATTTGGAATTGAAACAATTTGAGCGGCCTCAGATGTATAAGATCGTTCCTAAATACGAAATAATTCCTAGAGAGATTAAACCTCTAGAGATACCCAAACTGTTGCCCACAGAGAGTTTTATGTGCTGCAAGTTAGCTCCTCCGCATGACAATAAAATGGTCTGCCAAAGACAGTACATTGCTGGCGACCAACATGTGTTGATAGAGAGAGATGAGGCGTGAAACTTAGATAAATTTCGTAATTTTTAATTTACTGTGATTTAGTGTATTATTTCGTAAAATTTTGATTATATTTATTTTATTTGTAGTATGTAGCGTGTAGAGATTTTTATATTATTTATTTTGTAAATAAAATTATTTTTTGATCTATATTTTTGTGTTTTAACTAAATTTGGTAGGTATATTTAAAGAAATCTATATAGCAGGGATTTAAAACCATATACAGGTTGTCCCAAATTTTAGCTCGATGTATTCGAATGTCAGTAACTCTAAGAGGTAGGTATAGGGTTATTTAAATTAATTAAGTTTATCCTAAACAGATTTTTAGTTCAGATTCATATTCAAATTTTAAATTTTTGCTAGTTTTTGAGTAATTTGGAAAATGTCAAAAATGCTATTTTCTTTCTTTTCATTTTATATTGTTTTTTGTGGAGATATGAAAAACTAAAATAATTTTTTGCAGGCACTTTTTTTTGCAATATGGTCCCTTCGACAACCTCTTTTTAATACGGACCTGGTGTTTTTATACAACCTTTTTCAATGTGAAAAAATATGAGGTTTAAAACTATGTGCCACACTTTTTACATTTTACGACGTTTCTAGCATAACAAACATTATCAGTTCAAAATCCGCAGCTGTAATTAAAAAGTAGACCATTTCTAATAAAAATCTTTACTATTAAAGATAGTAAATATATTAAAATAAGATATTTTGACAAATCTAGGTACCTAAAATAATTAAAAGGTTTATCATTTTTTTATTATTCCCTTATTTTAATTTTTTTACAAATATGTTATAATAATTTATATATTTTTAAATTCTTAAACCCCAATAATGTCAGAGAGAATGCAAGATTAGTGTGCATTTACGTTCTCACAACAGTTAAGAAGTGATATCTCCAGTCACGTCGTGAATGCGTGACGGCCGAGGCGTTCACCATGTGCAGTGACCACCATGGGACTAGTGTTTAACCATCGACGATGTGAAATGAATGATTTTTATGTGTATCTGTAACGTTTGGAGAATGGCTCAACCCACGGACCTTAGGCCTCACTTGACCCATGTGCATCCTCCTCAGTAGATGCACCTTTTAACTCGTGAGCCAACCTACAGATTTAATGAAGTTGACATTGTCGCCAAGAGTTGCTTGTCTTATATCGGCCGGTATTAGCTAATTCTCGCCGAACACATAAATAAATGAGAACGTTGGACAATCTTAGAAAATATTCGAAGGATTCATCTTTTTTTTCGCACCGGCTGCTGAGTGCAAATTCTGACAGCCCCATGATATAGAGATGCTTCCTCACTTGCCAATGACCAGTCAGAATACTTGTAATCAGGCGTAGATTCTGTTTAGTTATAGTCAAGTATTTGTTGCCTGTAATGTCAGAATAACTTATAAGCTAGCGTTTGGTTTCATCCCATCTTTTCTTTAATATCCCAAGGGAATGTTCTTTAATTAGATTTATCACCACCGATGTTGTCAGTACAATAGAAGCGCCAGGTCCAAAAAGTATTTGGTTGGCTGCCTTCTTGGCTAGTGATTCAGCAAGACGGCTACCTTTCGATGTGTCGTGATCTTTATTCCATCTTAAGGTCACTACATTGTTGATAGATACTTCGGCCAAAGCTTTGTGGAATGCTAATACTGAAAATGCGTAAATTCGTGGTCTGACCAGGGTAAGTAGTGCTTGTTCTATAGACGAGCATGTTTCTTTCATTGATATTCCTGGTGATGTCTTCTGCTGCTAAGAGAAACAGTGGGAGCGTATCGAGCGCCTTCTGCCAAAATCGACGTCTCGCCTTATCAGATACTACATCAGGGCTAGAACTCTGTGTCATGTAGAATTCTACTTATCGCTTTTTACAATAGAAATCGATTACTTTCTTTTGTGATGAATACGTTATGAAACTAGTTATCCTGTAGTAAGTATATACTCGTTGGTTTTCCGCTATGTTACACAGAGTGGCACAAAAGAAAGTAATAGATTTCTATTAGAGAACGATAAGTAGAATTCTACATGACACAGAGTTCCAGGCCTGGTTCTATTTCAACCGTGCAGGGGCATGTCATTGTCATCAGAACAGTATCTTTGGCTGCAGTGCCGCTTCGCTACAATCGGATTAGAGTTATAGCAGACGGATACCGAAGGGTTTAAATATAAAAAAAACCATAATTACTACAATGTAGGTTCACTAAAGAAAATATTTAAATACATCATTATTAAGTAGGCGTTGCTTTACTATAGAACAAAAAGTAAATCATTGGACTGTCAAAGTTATTATGTGCAGTTAACGAAATCAAAATGTGAACGCCAACACTTAATGCTGTAATTTAGACTTTACATCACAGTCGTTTGGTGCATTTAAATCTCTCTCTATCTGTTACGTGTGAGGATAGGTTACCCCCCACTGCAAGAGGTGCTTCTCTAATATCGGACGGTGTTAGTTGATACTCGCCGAACACAAATCTTCTAAGAAATGAGAGCTTCAAGCAATCGTAAGGAATATGTTCAATGGTCTCATCTTCTTGTTTGCACCCTCTGCAGAGTGCAAATTCTGACAGCCCCATGATATGGAGATGCTTCCGTACTTGGAAATGACCAGTCAGAATGCCTGTGAATAGGCGCAGATTCTGTTTAGTCATAGTCAAGTATTTGTTACCTGCAGTGTTGTCCCTGACAACTCTGCAGTTTCTTGTTTCATCCCATCCTTCCTTGAATTTCACAAGAGAATGATCTTTAATTAGGTCTGTCACTACCGATTTTGTCAGGCCAATAGAAGGGCCAGATCCAAAAAGGATTTTGTTGGCTGCTTTTTTGGCTAGTGAATTAGTTAGACGGTTATCTTTTGATGTCGACTTTTGATCCATCTTAAGGTGACCACACTGTTGATGGATACTTTGGCCAAAGCTTCGTCACATTCTAGTACTAACCCAAAGTAAACATGTGGTATGTTCAAGGTGAGTAGTGCTTGTCTGCTATCTGTATAGATGAGCATGTTCCTGTTAGATAGTGTGCCTAGTTAATACTAGACATTTATGAGTTATGCAAATCAACATGCTATATTCTTTTGTTATAAAAAGTTTTGTTATTATTTGAATTTTTGATAGACATTTTTTGATAGATTTGTGAAGCACTGATATTAAAGTATTTTTCTAATAATAATTTATTGCTCATTAACATGGCGCATCATATTTGATAGAGCAAGAATGGTTGAATATTATATACCTCTATGTTTATGCTTGAATGGAAACCTGAGTGAGAATTTCTGAGTATTCCCGGACGAAGTCTGTATTTGCTTTACTGCGACAGAAACCGACAAAAATCAAAAGAAATACAGACTAGCCAGACTAAGGGGCCTATTCAGTAACTCTGAACGACGTCGTTAATAGACGATAATCGTTCACAGACGAGTTTTCTTATTCAGTAGACAACGATTGTCGTTGAAAATAGACAAATATGGTTGTAAAATTGTCGTTCATCAACGATATCCAAAGAGCTGTCGTTAATAATATGAAGTATCGTTATAGTGATTTTTGCATTATCTCTCATTTTTCATTGTGAATCAGGATGTGTTCTAAATAATAAAAGCACTTTTTTTACAAATTTTACAACTAAATTGCCATCTACCTAATACAGCAAGTACAATTTGTAAGGATTTTTTTTCTAATTAATTTAATTATTTTAAAAATAAATCTGATTCAAAGTTAGGATTGCCCATTCAACCATTTACTATTGGATTCTTATTAACAGTGCTGTTCCTAAAGTAGCACTGCGAAACAGTAACAAAACCTATATTATGGAAGTACCTATAATACATCTCCGTAACCTACACAAATTTGGTTTTTCTTTCAAATCCAATAAATACAACTTGTACTGTTCTCGAGTTGTTTTTTGTATTCTTTTGGAATAGTTCTCAGTTTTTTAATATATCCATACTCATTTAAATAAACCCTACATACAATACGACCAGCAAAAATGGCCCGCGAGAAACAGAATTCCTACGAATCGAGAATCGACCCCTTGATCGTGTTGTAGGTTAAGAACAATAATATATTCTGAAACACAAATGAATATATCTACTGGTAGAATTTTTATTTTACGTTCCAAAAAAATGTCAAATATACCGAGTGTTTAAATTAAAGGGTTACAGTTAAATACCGCCTTTTATAAAAAAAACAAAGTTTTATAGTTTTTTGGGGAAAACATTTTGGCTAAAATTGTTTTTTTATAGCAAACCATAATATGGCCAACTTTTTTTCGCGCAGCAAAATTTTCAAGTAGTTGTTACTCAATAAGTAGAAATGCAATAAAAAAATGTTTACTTTAGAAGTTGCTTATTTTTTTGTGAACTCTAAGAATACCTATGTAAAAAAATAGGGTTCCAATTTGAAAAAAAAAATCCACCTCGATATGGCCATAATATGGTCAGCTATAAAAAAATTAATTTAGCCAAAATGTTTCCCCTAAAAAACTATAAAACTTTTGTCTGATACTTTTTTTTATAAAATGCATATTTATTTATTTAATTTAAACACCTGGTATAATCATCAACATACGTTCTTTTATCACAAAACACTAAATTATAAAACCAACTTACTAGAAATCATCGTTCAGATTTGGTAACTAGAAACAACGTAACGACTTTGTTATTGAATAGAGTTTCAAAAATTATCGTTATAAAAGTCGTTGGTTGAACTGTCGTTAGCTTAACGATGTCATCCATAAACGATAAATTACTGAATAGGGCCCTAAAAAACCTAATGGCTAATGGGGCAAGATGCTTTAAAATTATATCAATAACTACGTTGACCAAGGAAAGTGAAAATGTAAAGGCTATATTGGATGTTTTGGAAAACTACTCGTATTGGGTTCAAAGGATTAATGAAACTATGAGTGTTTATAATTTCTTTTAAAGAAAGCAAGATCCTGGTGTCATTTTAATCTTCACTTAGTAATTTAAACTTCGTTTGACACAACGGTGGAATCGCCCCTTAGCTAGTTATATATTGATAAAGTATTATTGCCCTCATCATAAATGAATCGTGCTGACAAATAAAGTCAAAAAAACGTATTATAATTTTTCATCTTTTAGTTACC